GTTCATGGAAGAGTAAAATTTAATATTTTGCGCAGGTTAAAAGACACCCCGTCCGGAGAAGTTGACCCACACGCGTCGTACCGGATGAGCGCCTGTGGCTTCCAGCTTGGTCTTACAGTTCTAGTACACAACCACCTCCAAGATTACTATGAAGCTTCAATGGCATCTTATGGAATCAAGGTCAGTTTAGTACGCGTACTTTGCACTCAAGAGCAAACACAAATTAACAAATATTTTAACTGGTAATTATGTTTCCTCGCATCTTAACCTCCTAATTCGTTCCATCTGTCTCCTTCCTCCCAAATATTAACACACATTTAAACATACGACACAAACAGTAGAGCATCTAGAAATGGCGCTGTGGGTTAGCAGTGACGAAAAGCATCTACTGCGACTGCGCACTACATAATTGTCACGCTTACACAAGGTCAGGGAGCGTTTAAACGTCTGTTCAGTTAATAACAGGCAAACATACGAAAATTAAACTCTTTTAAACGAATACATAGATCGTCTGGATTTCGTATCACAAATTAATAAAGAGATTTTAGTTAAATCTAGTCAAAGTTGTCTGCAATAAATTTCCGTAGGACTGATTTAATTTCTATTTATAAATGCCATATCCAATCTTAACTTTAAATGCATCTCAAGAAATTTACAACTTCATTATTTGACTGAGAAATTTACTGTAAAAAAATTGTAAGAAATGTAAAAAACAAATTGAAATATTCTTCTCTGTGATTCATAAGTCGTCCTTCGTACTTAACTCTGCCTCACTCCACGCAAAACTATGGCGGAATGGACTTGTAACATCACGTATTATTAACAGCGCCATTAGATGATGGTAAGTGGTTAGCTTAATGTAATGACCGTACCCTCCGCGAGGAACGAACCCGGTACCCATTGGATAGGAGACTGTGTGGGGCCCCAAAGCCGGAATAAACATTTTGAAGTAGAAAATACCTCTCCCTGCTCGACATTATATCGTAGTGGCCTGGTAAATATAATCACTGAGCTATCTCGGCTTGTTTGTGTATACTCTACGTAACACAGGCATAAATAATATGCCTCGCTCTTGGTTCTATCAACAGACGTGATAACAAACATTGTTATATACTCATCAACCTTACACGAATTTCTATATACAACCTCAAAGAAGCGAAATATTTCATTTGTTACTTGTGATAAATGGACATCAAGATAACAAAACGATACACAATAGCCAGTATTGCACTTCGTAAATAATGATAATCCACTTTAATATTTAATTCTACGGTTACATTACGTAACGTTACATAAAACCCTATTCGAATGGGTAATATTCCTGCCAAGCTAGATCATCATCCTTGCCCTTACAGTTGACAGAAAGTACCAGAATACATTGACAATTCAAATCAATGATGAAACTTTTAAATAGGCCTACTCTGTAAGCCTAGGTAGTTGATATGGTGAATTTAAATAACAAAGACGCAATCATAAACTCGTGATAAATATGCGTTAAGTATTTATAAAGAGTGTTCCGCTGAGATATTCAAGCATCCAAAAAGTAAAATCAACAGACAATGTCCATACACAGCGTAAATCTGCCAAATTAATATAAAATTTGAATTATGACGTCGCCGAAGTACTCAGATTCTATGGACTATATTTATTATTTATTTTGTGTTCTGTCTGACGACAGGTCCATATGAACAGGATCCTTCCATCCTTTTCTCGGACTGGGACCTGTTCATATACGTTCTTGGCAGATGATCCAGAAGTGGTTTGCCATTGCCTTCTTCTGTGTGTGAATGGAGTGATTGTTGGGATGCCACGCAGAAACCGGGGAAGCCCCCGGAGGAAAACTCCGTGTTGCCTAGACCACGGCCTTGCCCAACACAAGTTATAAATTCGGGCACCGCCAGGAATCGAACCCGAGACCCCAGGATTACAAGGCCAGCGTTCTAACCGCTAGACCACCGTGGCGGTTCGGACTATATTGTCAGTAATTTAATAAACCAAAATTCGTTATCTCCAAGAGTAATTCTTAAGACTTATTTCCGTAAATCTAAAATTCATTATAAACAGCGTGAAAACTTATCTCTTTAAAAATTTCCCAACACTACACATATTCTAAATTTGGTACCCCTGTCGTGCACGAAAACTCTCTTTCCATTGGATTGACACTCATAAGTGTTATTATTTATCTGTGGCCAATTTAACGATGTTTTAATAGCAGTGATTATATAGCGCCGAATTTTAAGGCAAACATTGAAGAGTAAAATAAAAAGTTGGGAAAGTAAAGCTGTCCCGCTACACGCCGTGCAAAAGGGATGTGGAAGGAAACTGACGTGACCTCATTTAATGCACTATCCAGACAGTAGGCTGGAGGGACTGAGGATAACAACGAGAAACACTTAAAAATACAGCTTGTCTCCGGAACGAGATTTGGACCTGGGATCTTCTCAATAAGTAGCCACAGTGCTACCACCCAGTGGCAAGATTCGGCCATAAATGTCCCTGGAATATGTAAATGGAAAAATTCTGTCCTTCCTAAATGTCCCAGCCATTTTACTTATCACAGTCTTTCTTGTATTAAAATCCTTTCAATTCGTTTCTTATATTTACGTTTAATTTCGGAGTTGAATCACTTCTCAAGACACAAGCCACTGTTGATTCTAATCGGCTTTCATACTTTTTATCTCGTGCCAAAGTCCCGGGCTCGTGACACGTCGGTACTGGTGTAAATCTACAAGTAAAGATATTTTTCTTGTCCTTAAACGCAAATACATAAAGACGTACAGCAGTGTTTCTTAAACTGGTGTCCGCAATTTGTGCTCAAGGCGTCCGCGACTTGAGTTGATTCTACTCTTGTCTTTTTATGCTGTATTCATTAAACTTCCTTTCTAAGCTCCGTGTGACTTCTTCCTCTTCCCAAAGATGAAAATTCAGCTAAAGGGAAGGAGATTTGAGACGATAGAAGAGATTCAGGCAAAATCGCAGATGGTGCTTGACAGGCTGACAAAGAAAGATTTCCAGGGATGCTTCCAGGCTTGGCAGCGGCGCTGGGATCGTTGTGTTCACTCCCAGGGGAACTACTTCGAGGGTGATGGATGAATTTAATACCTGAGATAAGTGTACGGGGTTTTATACGCGCAGTCTGGAAACCTTTCGATCGCACCTCGTACATTCTATTATATCAAAATATAAGACAATTTTTGGGAATTAGTCCGTGGTACCATAAATGTTGAGAAACACTGACGTATAGGACGTGTGAGGGAGGTGAATAGTTAGATTGACGCTCCGGCTAATTTACCTACAAATGAAAAATAAAACCGATATTCCATTAATCAAACCCTGTATATCCAGCCAGTACTTTATAACGCGTTTTTAACCACATATTTACTTTGGTACGAAATATACCACTTGTAATACATAGGAGTAGATAGAAGGATAATATTAAAATGTATCTTCAGGAAACAAGATAAGAGTGCAACTGTTTTAAATTTAGGAAAATATATTTGACCTTGGCAATACAGACTCACGTGGAAATCAGATAGATATGTGGCTAGAATTTATCAGTTAAAACATATTTGTTAAAACGCTACATTATGCAGAGTTAAATTGTTATATTTTTGAAAAGGTCCATATGTAACCCTCTCCCCCGACAACACGTAACCTCATTTCAAGGTCAAATCTTTTCTCCTTAGTAACAGACAAACAAACAGACTCGTATGACTAAGGATATTATTTATTTAGTGTTCTGTCTGACGACAGGTCCATATGAACAGGATCCTTCCATCCTTTTCTCGGACTGGGACCTGTTCATATACGTTCTTGGCAGATGATCCAGAAGTGGTTTGCCATTGCCTTCTTCTGTGTGTGAATGGAGTAATTGCTGGGATGCCACGGAGGAAAACTCCGTGTTGCCTAGACCACGGCCTTGCCCAACACAAGTTATAAATTCGGGCACCGCCGGGAATCGAACCCGAGACCCCAGGATTACAAGGCCAGCGTTCTAACCGCTAGACCACCGTGGCAGGTTAACTAAGGATAGGGGAAAGTGATAGAAGATGAAATATTTCTGTACTAGCTCAGAACTAAAGGATTCTCAGGAGAGACTGTACTCCACGGAGCAGTGGATAAACTCGGAGAGAGAGATATATTGATTTTGAGGATGGCAAAGGGCAATACGAAAGTCGACGATGACAATTTCGTTTAGTAAAAGAAACTCCACTGTATAAGCTTTACAACCCACTGAGTTCAGTTCATAAAATCACGTGATCACTATCTACAAAAAGCAAGAGTTAAGTTAAAATCTCTGTGACGTATGCGACCTGGAAATTCACGATCTGCAGTACTATCAGACCGAAAAACGTCATACTTATTCTAATTTGATTTAAACTTTAATGGTAAATACTTTAAGACACTGAAGTTGAAAACAAACAGTGAGTAATAATTAAACAAATAAATTAATACCGATACTACGAACAGTGGAGTATCATGTAGCAACAAAGACGTGTGAGACGTATTTTTGTATGACGATAGAGGCAGCAAGACCCTCTGAAACCAGACTACACGGCGCTACAACCCAGAAGACAGGCAACTTCGTACCAGGGAAATATCGCACGTGTCTCCCGGACTATTGATTAGCTTCGTCAACGAGATATCAAACACCATCATTAATATCGTCCGTGATATTGGTAACAGTGTAAAAACAATACAGGGATTGGCCAGTGAATGACAAAACGATAATGCGATCTCCAGGAATTCTGCTCTGAAACGCTATTATTCCGTCATAACTCAATACGCCATGAATCGACTGGGCGTGTAAGTCGATTTCGGAATATGGCTGACTGCACACTAACCTTGCAACTATCAAGCTACATCCATGAATAATGCTAAATTAAGAATCAGCTGCGGTCTTCTATGTTGTAACACCGTGTGTACTTGTAAGCAACTATCAGCGTTTCTGAGGAACATTCTGTCTCCACCTTGAGCGCTGAAGTACCCTGAAGATGGATACAATGTTTTCCTCCTAAACGTTTGGGATGTTACGTTTGTTTCTAATGTTTTGATAAGTTAATAATAAGACATAAGTCGTTAAGCTCTGATGGGTTTAATATTTATTTCTTACACAGAAGAATTTATCAATTGGAAATTCGTAAATTCCGTAAATATATATGTAAATAGAATTAACAGCTGTGTAGTGATGGTATTTGCACTGCGATTAATTATTGTATTTGTATTATGTTCAACATCCTTGGCTTGAACTATGAAGGATCTATGCAATGTAAATATATTCTGTTCTATTCTATGAGCATATTGATTTTATATCAATTTATAACGTAGATGAGTGCCATTGCACAAACCTAAAGCTTTCTTTAATGAATATGTGTTTATGTAAAGTATTTTAGTTTTAGTTTGTGACTGATGCAGTTGAAAGACACACCACCAACATCTCCATGTAGCAATGAAACAATGGATTATAATGAACTGTTTGAAGATGAAGTTGAGGAGGTTATTGATGGTGAAGCTGCAAGTAGCAATAATTACATAGAAGCAAATGATGCAAGTGATGAAGATATTGGCATAGGCTTAGAAGGCAGTGAAAATTCTGAAGGAAATAACCCTGTGAGGGATGATTCAGCATCTGTATTTTCTCATCATAAAGGTTGGTACTTTCTTATCATAAAGGTTAAACTGTGCCAGGTGGATGTGAAGACATTGATGTCCAAAATATCTGCTGGATATTTAGTGATGGAATGAGGAGAGAGGTGTGACCTAGCCAGTATACTGTGCTTATCACCTTCTCAAATTGAAATTTGCATCTAGTAGCAATATTTCTAAAAGCAGCATGTTGATTTTCAACATAATAATGATAATGACAGCAGTTAAAACTGAAATACAATGTGCATGTTGAATACTTATTATATTCTGTCCCAGACCTGTTTGTTTCTTACATGTGACAAGGTACTTTCTTTTTTAAGTTTGTCAACACAGATTACAAATGTAGTTGTTTCCCACAGCAGGAAATGTTTGGTTGCACATATCTTGTAATGGAAACCACATGCCTGAGTTTATGTAAAATCTGTATGTGCATTATCTTGAAGTGGAATGTTGTGATAAATCTATTTCTTTGCCTTATTCCGAGTATATATTATTGAAGCAAATGTTTCTTACATAGGTTCTGTGTTTTGCTGCCATTTACAGCCAAAGGCTGGCAGATTGGCTGTGACTGGAGCAGAGGATGATATGGCATATGTTTGGGAAACACATTCAGGAGAAGTAGTGTTACAATGCAAGGGCCACAAGGTGGGCATTATATTTGTAATTCATTCAGTATAATAATGAGTAAACAGAATGACAGTAGAATTTCAATATCAGTTTACTTGTATAAAGTAACTGAATATTGTTGGTGATTGGTTTCAGCTTGTGCTCAAGGTTCATATCTTAGTCTGGAGACTGACTGACCTGACTAAGGTTTTCCTTGGTTTTCCTTAGTCTCTCCAGGTAAATTCCAGGACATAACATTAAATTAGACCATTACCAGTTCCTTTCACATCCTCTACAGTTAATTATTCACTAATCATAATTTGATGCTATATAAGCTTAGCAATTGAAAATGTCTTTGAATAGATGAAGAATAGATAAATATTAACCTTTTTGCCTCAAAAGCCTTAGAGTGCATAGATAGGATGTGCAAAATACAGCTTCTTCTGCCTAATGTCTACCTGACTTACGCATGGTTCACCTTGTTATTGTGGCAATGAAGTTGTGGTGTTACAACCATTACATCTGATGTATAGGAAATCTTCCTGCCCATTTCAGCAATAGAACCATGATGATAATCTAATTTTTGATTTCGTATGTGAATTAGACTGTGGTTGTGTTGATTCATGAGCTAACTGTCCTATATATAACCTTAACATTTATGTAAGAAAGAGTATTCAAATTAACTAGTCTGATAATGTCAAGATAGAGTGAATTTCTATGGTGCACTGAAGGATTATTAAGTAATACTTTATTACTTTTTCCTTACATTTTGAAATTTGCCTTTGATGAGTGTCAGTTTTTGTGTAAAAAATAATGGGGAAAGTATGACTCTTTGAAGAATGCAGTGTTGTATATGATCAGATATTGCGTGAGAGTAGTCAGGAAGATTTTCTCTGATACGATATTTCACTGTGTCGTGTACAGGACTCTGTGACCTGTGTTAGATTCAACTATGATGGGTCTTACGTTGCAACTGGAGACATGAGTGGTGTCATACAAGTATGGAAAATAGCTAACAAGTTACAAGTATGGGAAACATGTATTGGCGACCTGACTGTAAGTAATACTACGTTTACATTATGAGTTGTATTTGTGTATAGAAAATCAAACAAATGAAGCAACATATTGCAGAACCACAGTAGTGGCACTGGATGTTGTAAAATTGAATAGAAATGGGTGTTGTGCAGTGAAATTGTGGTGTTTATGTACTCCAACTATAAGTACTGAACATCACAGCCACGTGGTTAGCAGTCATGCTTCTTGTTCAGGAAGTTCCAGGTAAAAACAACAATCTGGAAACATGTTACTGTGTCTGAGGTTTTTCACGGTTTATCTTTATCCCTTCAGCCAAATACTGGGATTGAACCTTAAATGCAGCCATAACCACTTATTTCCAAATCCTTTGCAATGTATTATTTATTAATCATTCTGTCATTTGTTGTTATGTGGTTTGAGCTACTGACAGCATCATTAAATGATCCATATACATAATTAAAATAAATAAATGTTAGTGGATTTACTTAATAATGTAATAAGCTTGTGGTAATTAACATTACATTTATTTACTGTAAAATCCTTATTTAATTATTTTCCTGGTCTCATTGTGAAATGTTAATTCTTCTTGGATTGTCTCCTGACTATATAGCATCAAATAATGTATGATAAATGAATTGGAAAGGTCGTAGCTTAAATTAAGGTACTTTTCCGCCAGTTTCATGGAGGGACTGGGAAACCTCAGTCCTGGATAGTCATCTCCAGGCTGATGTTTGAACCTGGGACCTCCTGAATATGAAGCAGGAGTACTAACCACTTGGCTGCAACGTTTAAATAAGACTCTGTCTTGCAGTCATGCACTGTTTGCAGTGGCTGAGGTGGCATCACGGAGCAAATGTCTTGCTAGCTGGAACTGAGTCGGGGGAGGTATACGTGTGGAGAATTCCAGGAGGAGAATGCAAAGTGTTGCCTGGCCATGGTGACAAAGCAGACTGTGGACTCATGTTGCCTGATGGTATGCAATTTATAATAAAATTATGACTTTGCTGTCAGGCAGTACGTGGATTTTTATGTCCTCTTTTTATTTTTTTGTATGTTCCTTGCATAGAAACTGTGAAAACTGAAGAAATGAAAGGATTTTGTGTATAATATAAAGGAAATAGATCCCCATAATTTGGAAGGGCACTTCATGCAGAATGTACAAGTATGCCAGCCATTATCATTATAAGTTGCTTTTTATGTGTCCTTTGCATGATGGGCTGATCATGTCTGTCTGTCATCCGCGTGGTTCAACTCAAAAACCATGGGACGGATTTGAATGAAATTTTGTATGGTCATTATTTGAGTAATTATTTGAGAAATAAGTGCAGCAGGTACTGTAAACGTTCTGATAATATCCCAGGTGGAATTTTTTTACCTTGCCATTTACGTCATGAAATACGAAGTAGAGAGAATGAAATTAAGATGTAAATTTTTTTAATTTCCAGGCAAACGTATGGCGATAGGTTATGCAGATGGCTCACTTAAAATATTTGACACAAAGACTGCGACAGTATTACACCACGTACCTCAAGGACAAGCTCACACTGGTACAATTACTGACATGGACTGCCATCCTGATAACAACTTGCTTATCTCTAGTAGTGTGGATGGACATGCTGTTGTGCTCAAAACTCAAACTGGAAAGGTTAGTAGGCCTGTATTATTCTGACAGGAACTCTGAAGTACGAGGCTCGTCCTTAAAGTAAGTTTCCCTGGGGCCGTTTACAGAAACAAAACACAATTTCATGTAAATATTTATTGCAACAGATACAGCAAGTGTCTAGCTATTTTTCAACATATTCGCCACCGGATTTGAGACATTTGTCATACCGTGGGACCAACTTTTGAATACCTGTGTCGTAGAAGTCTGCCGCCTGGGATTGGAACCACTGTGTGACAACCATCTCCGCCTCTCTTTCATTCTCAAAACGCTGACGCTGACCGGACAGGAATTTCTTGAGGTGTAGGAAAAGATGGAAATCACTGGGAGCGAGGTCCGGGCTGTAGGGTGAATGATTAAACACCTCCCAGCTGAACTCCTGCAGGAGACTTGCTGTCCGTCGAGCCGTGTGCGGCCTAGCGTTATCACTGACCGCACTTCACAGTCGGCGGGAGCTGGAATAAGAACCTCCATCTTCAACAGCTGCAACGATGCTACTGTGAGAACGCGGGAAGTACCGTTAGCGCATGCGCCATGCTACGTCATTGCTCTATCACGTACGCACAGTCGCTTCACGCAAAATAAGGTTTGCTAGCTGTGGGACGAGTGGCAAACTTACTTTGTGGACGCACCTCGTAGATACAACGCAAAGACCAACGATATCGCGATAACCTAAAATGTCACACATAATGTTCCATCCATCGAGGTTTCTCGTGGGTTCACTGCAAGTATTACATGAAATCAGACCACAGTGAAAAGTAACTTCACCTTCTATTTCATCTCCATAATCGCTTAACTAATGTGGAATAAATTTGGTACTGGAACCCAATTAAATCTTTGTTCTATACAGAATTGCCCACGCTACAAAGAAACCGCTTAAGTTATAACAAATATATAATTAAGACCTGCATATTTTACTCAAATGTTTTCTCAGAATCATCGTAACTCAAGAAAATAAATGGAAAATGATGTCTTGAGTATGCCCACATCGAGTAATATCTGTAATGTTCCTTGGCTTTACAAATATGATGATGATATTCAGAATGCATAAGCGCATAGAAATTATCAGTGAAACATATGATCTCCAAAATCATTTGTCTCTATACACCAGTGGTATTCAACCTTTTTTGTTCGCGTACCCCCAGATATAATTTCTCTTCAACTTTGTACCCCCAAAGTTGTTTGTGTATAATTCAAGTTATACATAATATGTAATCTACATCTACAATATATTAAATAAATTACATTACTGATTATTCAGTCTTTATCATAAAATAATATATATTTTTTTAAAATTTCACGTATCCCCTAAGATGTCTTCGCGTACCCCCAGATATAATTTCTCTTCAACTTTGTACCCCCAAAGTTGTTGGTGAATAATTCAAGTTATACATAGTATATAATCTACATCTATAATAAATTAAATAAATTACATTACTGATTGTTCAGTGTTTATCATAAAATAAATATATATTTTTTAAATTTCACGTACCCCCTAAGATGTCTTCGCGTACCCCCGGGGGTACGCGTACCCTAGGTTTGAATATCACTGAGTTAGACCATGTTTTATTTTTTAAGCGTCCAGTTACTGCAACAAATAAGTTACGATTAAAAGTACATTGCCTGAAATCCGATTAAATTAAATATAAATTTATTCAGGGGTGTACTGACAATTATTAGCAAAGGTCTCGCGTCAGTACCTTGTATTTTTTTTTTCATTTTCGTTTTGGCATATGAAGTATGGACGGAAAGATATATCGATATTTTGATTTTCCGTGATTTTCGGATAATCATATAAAAACTAACAAAGCACACCCCTGATCCTATTATCCTCAGTTTACAGTTTAACGTTCAAATTAATGCTCATCTTGTATTTTACAACGTCAGTCTCTTTCTGTTGTATGTCTGTAGTTCATGAAGTGGACACTCAATTTCCCTCATAATTAAGTGGTCACAGCAAAGCTTTTGATCATAAAGTGGTCACGGTAGGTGTTATCAACTTCAAGTACCACGATAAACATTTCGTCATGTATTAATAGTAAATTATGAACATAAAGCAGACTCACTGGATTTTCAATCTTGAATCAGGGACTGCAAATATACTATCATGAAACGAATATTATAAATTTATTACAAACATTTGCTCATCATGAAGCAATCATTGCCCATGGCAAATTCTTTATTCAACTTCTTTCTTGAACAGAAATCAATCGCGGCAAAATATTTTCTAATTTTTTTTTTTTTTGCTAGAAAATGAATACGTCTTATTCAAATTTATTCACTCCGAGTCATCCACGGTAAATTATTTATTCGTTTACCATTTAACGAACAAGGTAAATTCTTTATCCGGAATTCCTGAACGTGAATAATTAACTGTAAATATTTTAATCGGATTTGTCGATCATCGACGGTAATATTTTTATCCAAATTTATTGATAATGAGTCAACCAGGGCAAACATTTACTCAGATTTATCGATCATGAAGTCATCGTAGGTAAATCCTTTATTAAAATTTGTTGATGTGTCATCAGCTGAAAATTTTGTATTTTAACTTTCGCTGATCATTAGAAAAAACTTCGATTCAAATTTGTTGAAAAAATAAACCGGATACAGTACCGTTTTTATTCAAATGTGGTAAGTAATCCATATTAATTTTTTTTTTAAATTTGATAATCACAAGTCATTCACGATAAATTTTGCATTTAAATTTGGTGATCAAGAATCCCACATATTCTGAAGGCCCCAGATTCGATTTCAGACCCAGACATAGGGGTATTCGGACTTTTCGTGGTTTTCCTCGGCTCCACATAAATTTGCTGAAACTGTACTTAAAATAGACCACAGCCGTTTCCTTCCACATTGTGGTGATATTTGAAATGTTCATTACAAATTTAATATTTTCTGACATTTAACTCCACAAACACTAAAAATTTGCACGTAAAAGATTTTATCTTGGATGCGAACGCATCCGAAGTAATTAACATACAAATTACGTAACCATTGTATCCAAAGCAACTGTCGTAACAAAATAAACCATTATGATGAAAGTAACCTTGAGATTCACCACGTAGCCAAAGTGTCGTTAATTAAACCAAGAAATAAATTAACTTGGTATCGGTGAAGAAAACATCCCATAACACTGAAGAGGAAAGACTATAATGAGGCTTAACGTCGCAAAAATTCATTACACAAAGCAGCCTCGTCACACATTTCGTCCAATGAGAATCATTTTGTCATATACAAACGACGAAAAATAATCTCGCAGATGTTACAAAGCCAAATATTCAAATTAACATTTAGTTGGAGGTTAAATCATTTCATTCGTCTCTGTATTGCGATAAAATCAATGTGATAGGATTCTCCTTATAAGTCAGTAGCTGACTCTTCACAAGTTCCTGACCTGTCAACGGCATATGGAAACAAACCCCATTGAACTATCCTAAGGACCACGTAACCCTACTAAACGTATTTACATATTTATTTCATAAAAAACGACACTATCAGTAGTTCAAGTCTATCTGGCCTCAAATAATATAATGATTAATCAATAATTAATTGGAAATACAGTAGATTCCGGTTAATCGGGGCAGCCCTTTATTTGGGGACAATCTTAAAGAACAAACCTTTTTAACTCTTTACGTGGAACTTAGCATAATTGGGACAACCACTTAATTGGACCAAAGTGTTCTAGTCCCGATGTGTCCCAATTAACCGGAATCCACTGTGTATATGAAAGCTTATGTCATAGCGTAATTTAAGGTACTATCTCAGCATTTCACTGGGATTACGAAAAGCCAATAAGCATCTGTCAGGATATAGGTCTCTGGCTGAGATTTTAACTCAGGACTTCTAATACACGAAGCAGGGATACTAATCCTCTGTCGTGACATTAAAACAAACCAATGCACTTCTAAACAAGGCGGAGGATTTGAAAGAGAACCAGAAAAACCCGGCACGTTTCCATGTCTTTGAATAATTCTTTATGTCATGAAACTACGTGTTAAAGATACGTGAAAATCCTGCCCACTTGTGGCAAACCGAAGCTACAACGCTATTGACACGTCCCTAATTGGACACGGTCTAATTCACATCCATGCTTTTTCCTCTCTCTTTCTCAGATCTATGTAATTCTCACACACTCCGCTTGGTTTTCCAAGCAGTCTTTTCCCGGAAGCCTTCCTCCCGTGCATTGATATCTTGCTTGATAAGATATAAAGTTTTCTCGGCGGTGAGTATGAAGATGGTTGTCTTCTGGGTCATTGCTCCTTTCATCTGGTAGATAAACTTCTACCAGACTTCATCGCCCTGATGATGGAGGCGGCAAGGACCTCTGAAACGTCATTAAACTTCTACCAGACTACACGGCACAACAACCCAGAAGACATCCATCTTCTTAAGGCTTTGACCGGGATGTTAAATCTTATGTGGTACCGCCTGATTCGACTTCTAATGGTTAAGTGAAGTGTTTTCTTCGCGGTACGGTCTGGATTCGTAAATAATATTCAGACGATCTCCGGCTTCAAAGGGTTAAAGATTGTACGAACACTGGATTCTGAATATAAGTCTTATAGTTTAGTGTTGATAATATTTATACCCAACATCAAAACAGTCGAAACACACACACCCGTAACATTTGATAAGTTAAATTAATGTTCAGAGATAACTTTAAATAACTGTTAAATCAATTAATTTAACAACACAGATTAGACGTCCACTTTAACTTTGGAACAGAATCCGTAGGTAATAAAATTTTGTGCAGAATGTTTCAAAAAAGGTACCACTGCTTGGGAGAGAAAGTACCTACAACTTTAGACCATAAGTCGTTTTTCAGCGAACAGTTGAAGTACGACGCAAGAGTTGCAGTATTAACCTATGTGCCGACGAACACAACACAAACTTTGGAATTCTGAAAGAAGAGATTGAAACTACGTGTAGAGTCGATTGAAGAAAGGGTTTTCACACAAAAATTGGGTTGTGCTGTACGTATATACCATAACTGCCTACAAACAACGATTAATTCACTACACATTCGTACTGCAATTCTTATGGTGAAGATTCATAAACGCTTCCAATATACAGACAGCGCGTATTACACAGTCGAAATTCTTTTCCGATTTTGTCAAATTTTCGTACGAGCTTTTGCAACGTGGACACATTCAATTTCCCCACCCCTCCTGCGACCAAAGTATCCTTGAGGTTCACAGGAATAATATATACCAGTACAAAAATTTATTTAAGAACCTGCGTTGAGAATTGTTCCTGAAATTTTTCTATAGCGATCTTCATTTGTTTATCATACGAATCTTAAAACTGAGAAAAGCACAATTACTGCAAGAAATATTATTGCTAGCTAACTCAATGAACTTAAGCAAAAATTGAAGACAGGGGATAACCAGTTCACCCAAGAAAGTTAAGGTACTTTTAGACAGCTTTAATGCTAGACAGTTCCCAGGTAAAGCTGTCGCTTTGAAATGCAATTAGCGTAAGTTACACATAAATTGGGAAGGAAATAAAAAAACTGAGTCCCTCAGCTAAGGAACTCAAAATGATGTGAAGTTGCCTGGATTTAAAACTATTGCAGAACTGGTAAATATTAAAATAGGACAGTCTCCAATTAATAATAATGGTCAGATATTTTATAAGATATGTTGAGTCCTTAACCAGCAAGCTAGGGGCTAGAAGGAAGTAACTATCAGCTTTGAAGACAATTTAGTCAAAATATTTAAACGCTTCAACAAATGGAACATTCCTATTCCCAATAGCTCTAAAGTTCTCAGTTTGAATTATCTTCATCTACAACATCAACACTTCTAGAACGTGCGTTCTCAATTTTAAACAATGTTTTGTCACTTGAGAGAAATATAATGGATAACAGTTCACCCTTGTTGAGCCACAGGAAGAACTACAAGTTCACACGAAAGGAGATTTATTACAAAAAGAATGTCAACACCGAAACACTCAAAAGAATTCAGTACATAAAAAAACATTTCAACCACCAGAAGTACAACGTCATAATAGATTTCGGTTACTTAAAATGTGAAAATAACTATCAGATATGAGGACAGAAATTTGATGTAATTGGTGGTTATCGTGCTCGCCACTAGACCCAAGGTTCGTGGGTTCAATCCCTGCCGAGCTCGGTGGATTTTTAAGGGTGATAAAAATCCGTAGCACAACTTCCTCCGGAGGGGAAACCGTAGCACAACTTCCTCCGGAGGGGAAACCGTAGCACAACTTCCTCCGGAGGGGAAACCGTAGCACAACTTCCTCCGGAGGGGAAACCGTAGCACAACTTCCTCCGGAGGGGAAATAAAGCCGGCCGTCCCATATTGTAGATTTACGGCAGGTTAAAGAACCTTACAAGCATGAACGAGATGTTCCGTAAGCAAAATTCAGCGGTCATTTCTTATCAAAATCTCCCCTGATTCACTACTAGATGGCTATAGCAGACAAAAATCAGGATTGAGTAGAAATTGTGCAGAGGCGGTGGGTTTGTCACTCACTAATCAAAATGCACACTTCAAAGAGAAGGAAACCTCCGAAAAACGAGGCGGCAAAAACCAACAACCGGGTTGTAGAGACGAGAAACAAGAAACTCTGATTATTACATGGAAAAAAAAAACATAATGAATTGGCACGAAACGCATTTGTGAACTACAATACATGCCATCTTCTTCCTCATATAAGAAAGAGAGTGTCCCGGCTTGTAACACAAGAAATATGGTAACCATCACTTGCCGCAGGGCTAAGTAATGCGCAGTGCTGCCATAGCAACAAAAGCAAAACTATGTCTTACAAAGGAAGGCTTTTAAGTAGGAGTAGATTTCCTTGTTACAGACACGTGGTTGTGGGATCGATTCTCCATTCTGAAACATTTTTCAGCAATGCAAAATCCATGGTTCATTGCAATATATGTTGGCGGATGTTGAAGGCTAAGAATAAGACACGTGGCCATTTTTAAGATAATTACCTGCAAGTTTCGTTGAAAAAATCGACAAAAAAGACAAGAGAACACAAATTACAATTTAATGTGCAACAAATCTGAATAATAAATCTCACAACAATTATCTTTGCAAACATAAGTTACAATATCATAAGTATCATAAATTGTCTTAAAACATATTTCTTTACATAAAAATAGTAAGGTAAACGATAAATTATACCCCACGGTTTGACAGTACCATAACAAAACGTTTAGATTTATATTATTTTTCTTCGAAATCACTGTTCTTTTTCATGTATTAGGTTCAACTTTTGTAGGTTTCTAGTTTATTTAAAATAACACATCTTTAGGTGGGCCCAAGTCTTGTTTTGTAATATGTAGTAGGTGACGGGCGACATAGTAAAACTGCCCAAAGGTCGCTCAATCTGTGAACTGAACACAGATTGGTCAGTACTGTAGATTACGTTTTCTCAACGGGAGCTTTCTCTATTCCAAGATTCATCCATACCTCCTGATACTTTTAAAATTATGCGCTTTAAAATACAGGCAGATACAGAATATAACTCAGCTTATGACTAACAAATGCTAATAAAAGATTCATTTTCTCCCGTACTACAACAAAAGGACTTATTCAAATGCAGATATTATTTAAATTAATTAACGTACTGTGTGTCCGTCTCCACTCCAGCAACCAAGCGTCTCTAACGTTGCACTATGAACCTCGACTCTCAAACTTCGAGGAATCTGGTAGAACCACAGAGTATGGTGTAATTTTGATGTTTAAATTTGGAAGACTAGTTGAAAGCATAACGGTGTAATTCAGAATCTGAGTTCAAAAGCAGCAAAACCTCTGGGGTCTAGATAGGCACAAGCCTTCAGTCAAAGTGGCTACTCGCCACTAAGCCATTCATCTTCTATTCGTATTAAATAAGTATAATTTCACATTTTGCCAAGAGCAAACAGACCCAGTGGTTAGCATTCCCGCTTCGTATTTCGGCAATCCAGAGTTCAAATTTAGGCTCGAGTTAAGGTTTTCAGTGCAGAGTAGTCTTGTAGGTTGTTTCGTAAGAATTTTTAGCTTCCATCTTCAGGGAAGGTAGTTCAGAAACGTTTGTAACCATATACAAGCCGAGTTGGCGACGTAACCCAGAGAAATATAACCCAAGTTCTTACAACCGTCAAAACTTTATAACGCAGGCCTAAAATAGATTCAATCAGTGCCATATTTATGTCAACGTCGTTTTACGTTTTATATTTACTAGACGATGGATAATATCCAAGAAAATTTTTATTCAATTGACTCTTCACCATCGTCAAGAAGTTTTAGATTTTAAAATAATAGAGATTTTTTTTGTGTGTAAATCTAAATGTTTCGTAAACAAGGAACGTTTTTTCCCACCGAGTGGAAATTCAAATCTATCAGACACTCCACGTAGGCTAAGTGAAAGAACGAACTTATTTTCAAAATTATATCTTTATAAATACACACA